TAGTCAACAGATTGTATTGTTTAATTGTTTATGATATTAAATATATAAAACTTGGCCTTCGAGAGGACTTTGTACACGATCTTGAACTGTCGATTCCACCTTCCGCCTATGATTTCATACTTCCTGTTTCTGGAAGACCGAAACAATTTTTCGAAACCTCGACTCTGGTTTACATTGGTTATTTATAAATAAAGTTGTCATAGTTTGTATAGTCCTGCCAGGCTGCCAGTGCATTATTCACTTCAATCACTTGAGCAGGTCTATAAAGCAATTTTGAATTCGAAATAAACAATTGCTCACTTTGAATATATAATATTTGGTCTTTCCTGGTAGTGGCCTTTACACAAACATTTTCGTACATATTTGAACCACTGAAAACTAAAACTAAATGTTTGCTTACGCAATAGCTAGGACTAAACCAGAACTAAAATGAAATTCCTGTTTCGAACTCGAAGTACTAAACTAAAACTAAAATAAAATTTCTGTTTCAAGTGAGGGGGGGGGCTCTAAACTTTTCAAAGTTTTGGTCCAGCAGGGGCCTGGAGTGTTCACTCCCACCATAGTTAATAGAATAGATGGTTTGGAAACTCATTAGAATAACAATATGACTCATTACCTGTGTTAGTGAACAATAACATTCATAGATCTGGTCTTTACCGTCATGTGAGTATTGTATTTTTGCCCGACTAACCGAAAGCAATGTTTTAAGAAAGTTACCTATCCATGACTCGAACAATAGGGTAAATTGAAAATTGCTATTGGTGGACATGGCAAAAATATAATTCATACGTGACGGTGAAAGAATATATTTATGAATAAACGTTGACTAACATAGATAACGAGTTATATTGCTATTCTAATGATTTCCAAACTGTCTATTCTGTATTAACTGATATGGAGGAGCTCCACATCCATGGAATACGTAAAAGAAGGCTGCAACACGCCAGTCAAAAATGCATGCAAAAGCACTAATATGCTTCAACATCTGAAATTTTCATTCTGTTTCTACCAAATTTTCCATGAATATAGAACATATCGTTCTTACAAATCGTATTTTTTTATATGTTTTTGGAATTGCTACTTTTTAGCGGCTAAATTGAAATAAGCTATTGGTGATTTTACTGAATCCATTTGTAGAGCAGACCAAGGGTACTTTAATTAATTAAAACTGAAATCTGTTTCTAAATACAACCATTTTATGGGAAGATATATTATAGCGATACATATGTCGAAAAATCCGCATATTGTTACTAAAAATAGAACAAAATGGCTGATTTTTAGAAATTTAAGTCATTATATCTTCGCAAGGAATGGCTGTCAGGGGCGTAGAAACTGGGGGTTGTGGGAGGAGGGTGTACAACTCCCCTACTGTGAAATTCAGGCCAAAATCATGTAAAATTCAAGTTAAAATTTTGACATTTTCAGGTAAAATTTGCGTAATAAAGTAATTATTTTAGTGAAATGATAACCACTTTTGTAAAATACAGTCCATTTACATGCAATTTGTTAGCGAATTTGCTTTAGAAAATACCAGAAATTCAGTCCTAGAGCTTTAAAAATGTAAACATTTTCTGGGGGAGGACTCCCAAACCACCCCCCTTTTCTTCCAGAACTTAGTATGAGAGTGCCATAAATCAATCACAAAAAGCTTTATTATAATTATTACACATATAATCCTCCGACACCCCCCCCCCCCAAAAAAAACGTCCCTGATGGTTGTATTCGAAACCGATTTCAGTTTTAAGATATCCTTAGTCTGCTTTTCTAAATGGATACATGAAATCACCTATAGCTTATTTTAAATTTTTTGGCGCCCGGTTTGTGAAGTAATTTAAAAAAAAAACCAAAACCAAAATAAAAAAAAACAATGCAGCTACTATTTTGTATATCACTGCTGCAACTGTGCTGTTCAAAACCTGAAGTAGTTTCGGACTGACCGCCGTAATTTACTGGACAACTTCCCAGACACTGATTGGTTGCCCAGACTTCACCAGAACGAAAGTTTCCGTAACTTGTGATTTTTGATCTGAATGTCCCACCTTTAAAACAAATCGCTGCTAATGAACATATGCTCATAAAGTGAAACTATATATATATATATATATACAAATTGGTTTCCCATTCACCTTTTGGAAGAGATAATGCTCTTTACATATCGAAATTTGTATATTATATGTACAGCGACAATCAAACAGTCAAAAATTGCTCAGAAAAGTGACGTCACCACTATTGCTATGGCAACAATGACAATTCAAGATGGCCGATACCTTATTTTACTTTAAAAAAGGTCGGTTACCCCCATTTTTTATTTCAAAAAACATTTTCTTATAATACAATACACTATCTGACCAATTTTAAAAAAATTCTGTAATGCCAAATTTTTTAAAAATTTATAAACATGGTTTTTCGAAATAATTTTTTTTGCATTACAGAATTTTTTTAAAATTGGTCAGATAGTGCCTTGCACTATAAGAAAATGTTTTCTGAAATAAAAAATGGGGGTAACCGACCTTTTTTTAAAGTAAAATGCGTTCAAAGCCAAAATATCGGCCATCTTGAATCGTCACTGTTGCCATAGCAACAGTGATGACGTCACTTTTCTGAGCAATTTTTGACTGCTTGATTGTCGCTGTATATATAATATACAAATTTCGATTTGTAAAGAGCATCATCTCTTCAAAAAGGCGATCTAGTTTACGCATTTTGAACATTTCTATAAACTGTAGCGAGCCACCTTAACATGGGTTTTATATATTTTGATATCTCTACTTTCAAATTATATTAGTTTTAGCAACAGATAGTTAGTTGCTATGACGACATACGTGTACGAAATTCACTCCAAAATGGCCTATCGCCTCGAATAGTTGGAAAAGAGGCATGGTGTCCCCAATTTTCTTTCGTGCATTATTTTACTTGGCAGAAAAACTAACAATTAGCAAAATCATTCTGTACTGCCATCTTTTTAGAAAATGCGAAAATGTCGTAAAATGTTTTTGCAATTACAGAATTTTTTTATTTTGGTTGCTGCCGAAGGCAGCCTCCTATTCTTGACGATGTGTCTTCTCGCACAAGTCCAGTTAATTTAAGAAAATAACATACTCCAGATCGAGATTTGACTTTCCGAATAAAATTATACCTAGTTGAACCTCGCGAAGACCACCATGGACCATGACAATTTACATGCACGCACAGCCTCATTGCCTGCTGTAGATTTTGTATCTGGTTTGCATGTCGCAAATTTTATGCCTGGCTAATTTATCGAGGTAGGTAGGATGAATGTTTAATTAATTTTACGTAGGATGGATGTTTAATCACAAATAACAATTTGTTTTGGTCGAAGTATTTTACCGGTTGAAACGTGAAACGAATGAATTAACTGTATATAAATTATTAAGTTTTTAGGTGCATACAAGTTTAAGTGGAGCTCGTCGATTGTCAGTCTGTCAAAAAATCTGATGAGCTCGATAGAACATCGTACTTCGAGGTATAAATAATCATAGTGATAGTTTATTATTAATATTGTTATTATGGGAATATCAGTTGAGCAGTATCGTGCCCGAATTGGAACACAGAATTGTATTCGAATGAAAACTTATCTGACTTGTACAAAGATATTCCTATAGCAACCTAGTGTGGATTGTTGTCTGGACATACTAATAGCGAGCTTAAAGCAAGCGACATTTTTGACAACACGGACGTTGACCGGAAGCAAATTTGATGTTATCAACCAACCAACATTCTTGACCCAGCCTTGAAGGTGCCATTAAAACGATAATTGGGACAAAAACCGACTTAATATTTCTATGTATGAAATTGTTATTAAATTATACATGTCTAATGATTCATTCGAGTATTATGATAGTTTATATATGTAATATGATTTTCTACAGTGTTCACTGGCAAGCTAGCCATGGCATGCAACTGACCATGCCATGCACATAAACCTGCATCTATTTGAATAATACAAATCATTAAAAACTTGCATAGCATGACCTGTTGCTATGGCTAGCTTCACCACTGACGGTATTATAATAAAGTAAATTATACATACAAAAGCAATAAACTATAAGCATTGAAGGTGTACATATAAAACTGACCATGTCCTAGAAAGTAGAATTGGAATATTTAGCTGACCTTCGATCTTGTGCAAGGTGTTCGATATTCGAATTGAACTTTTCCTCCTGAACAGGCGTGTATACAAAAGTTCAAATGCCAGTTGACAGAACTCAAATATTGTAGAGAAGAACTTGTAGTTCAAGAACATTATTATTGCTGCTTGAACAACCTTTTGCCGTTTACAGTTAACCGAATCTATCTCTGGAAAATAATGAAGGTTTTTGCTGAGTTGTGCACCATGATTTGTTTCAATACATCGAAATTTAGGACCTTTTGTCTCAATCGTCTGGGCTGAAAAGAACGGGATCCCAAGATTAATACCTCTATAATTTATACATGAATAATTAACTCTCAATGATGGATCGACATATGCCGCCTTTTTGTGCCTTGTTCGTTGTGTCAAACACTTTGAGTTCGCAATAGAATTTTTTAATAAAGTTCTTTGTATAGCTTTATTCATTATATGGCAAAGATACACTACCACGAACAAGGTGAGTGTATCCAGAGCGAGTAATATTCTCGGCCGTGCCTACCTGCAAAGAGGAATTCCATGCATTGACCTGGGACAGAACTGGAAATCAACATAAACGAGAGATAGGTCTCTTGTCACCTAACGCCCGCCTGCGTGTTGGTATTTTTACGAAAAACACATTGACTTTTTAAAAGTATATATCCATGATTCTTCTTCGCTATATCCACTTCTATCCGATACTACGTCCGCAACTGACTATAACAGCAACTCGCGTTCCCGTCCTACCCGCTTAAGGTCGCTATCCTTTTGTTCCAAATTCAGATCACAACCTTCACTTTGTTTTCGCCATTACCTGACTCTTGATTAACCAGTGCTATATCTACCTACTCAGCTACCTGTACTTTTCTTCATTCTACCCATCAACCAATGAATCTAAGACTAATGTACCTATAACTACTGGTAACCCACCTTGAAGACAATTGGAAGTGGTCTGCAGTAATGCTTTGTGACTGGAATCATCACTTCTTGTAATCTTCATTTCGTGTCCTTTTGGTTTCCAAAAAGCAGCCGAAATCATATCCGTATTGTTTAATGGGTTGTTCACGTCCTCATATGGAGTGACTCGGTCATACCAAAACGAAGCATCGTTCATCCAGTGTTTAGAATCTCCGTTGGAGAATCGTGCAATAAGAGTCCATTCATTGCTTGCTCTGGCTGATACAACAGAGTATGTCTGGAAAGGAGTCAAATTGGTTGGTGTTTTTACTTATTATGTTTTTGTGATATTCTATTTTTCCGCTTTTCTAGATATGGTTATAAAAGGCATTATACAGAAATTTTTCTCCACGTATAGTAAATATATTAAGCCACATTCATAAGTAGATTTACTCCAGGACCAAAAAGCGCTTTAAGGCCCTGTTCACATAAACCCGGGACAGCTTTATATCCCGCGGGTCAAGAAATTGTCGCGAGATAAAAATTGTCTCGGCTCCTTAATAAAAGAGTAGTGCTGTTCACATACATTTTATCTTTCCCTGGGTAAGAATTGACCAGGGCTTCTCGCCTCTGCAGACAGGGACACTCGCTTAGCCAGGGTAATTTTCCTCTTGCATGTGGAAATTTTGTCCCTGGACAGGAGTTTGTATGCGTTTCATTGAGCACAGGCATGAATGAGCGCCGTATTGCTTAGGTGCATAATCTGCGCCATAGTCTGCTCCATTTAACAAATAGATCACATTTATCCGTTGTCTGTTCATGATCAGTTATAGATACACAATATGATGTATCCCCCGTATCCTATATATAACAATAGGACGTATCCCCGAGCCGCCTAGGCGGGTGGTCACTTTTTGTTCTTACCACATATGACGTCATACTGTGTACCGTATAACGGGAAAATGTAATCTATTTGTTTTATATAATAAAATTGAAAAAATTCCCGAATTAAACAGGTAAACAATTTATTTTTATTCCCCCAAACATTTGGAAGTCGAAATTTTGCAAATATCACGCGTTCATGATCTATACAAATAACGAAATGCTATTGGTTCGCTTAAGTCACGTGCTGGATTCTGATTGGCCAAGCTTGGAATGTGCTAGACGGTAATAAATACGGAAAAAAACTAAAAATTTATCAAAACAGTGAAAACACATTGTTTTAAAGAAATAAAAACGTGTGATAAAAAGGCAATTATTTAGTTCTGAGCGACTATGGTGATTGAAAAGCACTTAATAAGGTGCTTGTCTACCCTAAATTTCGGTCAAAAGTTGGAAATTTTCTCTAATTTTTTATTGGCTTTACTGACTTCTTTTATCATTGTATTTTCACCCCCTGATTTTATAATAACATATAAGAACATTCAAACAATTCACGGAAAGATTTGATGTGGTGTCAAAGGTAAACGGGGAAAACACGCAGCAAAATGTTTTGTAAATGCATGCATGATAGCTGTAGTGATTGGGGTTTTTTGGAGTCGCCGTTTATTGTTGTAATGGCCCGTTTACCGTTCTTTTGTCAACTCACAATATAGATTTTATTAGTTGGTTAATTAACCGTGATACAAAAAAATTCGGGTAAAATTATCAGTTTCAAAAGCAAGTTTGCAGCTCGTAAACTATAGAGAAAACGACGTCATCTTGTAATACAAAATAGGTAGCAAGACTTACATAATTGAATTAAATCCCAATGCATGCATCTCGACGTTTACGCCCTAGCACATGGTAGAAATTTCTTCTGGCAAAAGAAAACCATATAGCCTACTTTAGACGTAACAACAAGCAAAACTCATGCGTTTCATGCATATGTATATTTTAGGATGTGTCAAGTTCAAGTAAGCATTACATCGCTTGCTATTCATGCGAACAAATATATATAATATATTGGTCGAAAAACGTATTAGCCTAATGCATTGTATACATCCATCTTTCAGACGACAGAGTGGAAGAAAATTAAAAAAGATTGTGTTTTCACGCACGATTATATTCAGTGTGTGCATGGTTCGCTATAAACGTATAAGTAAAACTACAATGGACCATTCCCCAATTAACCAAAATTTTGAACTCAACAAGTCTAGATAAACATTTCATCACAGCTTGAAAGAGCATCACAAAATTAGTAATATTCCAAAGTTTCGTTGCAAAATGTTGTAAAATGCGGATAATATAACCTTGCGAAGTTTGCAATTTTCAGTCATTTTAGATTACAAAACGGGAAATGGTTACTCACTTCTGTGCGTAATACAAAATGACTGAAAATTACAAACTTCGTAATGCTATATTATCCGCATTTTACAACATTTTGCAACGAAACTTTGGAATATTACTAATTTTGTGATGCTCTTTCAAGCTGTGATGATTTTTTTGTTCAGGCTGGTTAAAATCAAAATTTTGGAAAAGTGGTAACCTGAAGTTCAGGCCCTAATCACAGAATAGGGCCTGACACAAAACCTATCTAAACCGTGGGATTCCCGTCCATCTGGTGGACGGGAAATCTGATTGGTTGATCAGCATCATGAAATATTTTGATTGGTTGGAAGTTCACATAAACAATATTTTGTAAATTGCTAGGTCAATGTGGCAAGGTCAAACGCATGTATCAAATTGCATTGTGATTATCGTAATAGTATTGTCGAATTTCTTCGAATTTCTTTTGTTTAATAATAATAATAATAAATATATTTTGCCCTTTTTGAAAAAAATACAGTTATCAAAAATTAGTTCTTAAATAATAAATAGAATAATAAATATAAATAGTTAACACACTGTTTAACGGGTATTGGGCCTGGTAACTAAATTAACCGTGAGGTTTTCTAGTTAGTTACCAGCCTATTGATTTTAAATTTTAATTAGAGATGAAAGATAATTTGTTTGACAGAGCTAAATAAAATGAGATTAAAGCGCATATTAATTAACATAGCTCTAGTTTGTCTCAAATTGTTTTTTTAATAAATATTTTTTTACCAATTTTGAAAAACAAAAAACATTTAGGTGTTTAAGTTGTTTAGGAAGTTCTTTCCAGAGGTCAATAAATGCAAAGGAAGTCATTTGTTTACCATAGTTTGTTCTAACACATTTTTTGTGTAAGTTTTGCTTAGATGAATATCTGATATTGTAGGTATGTACGTCACTAGTATATTGAAATAAACTGTCAAATATGCGTGGCAGTTGGCCTTTGTGCCATAGATGAGTGAATTTTAAAGCACTGAGTCGATAAAGGTTATCAACACTGAGAATTTCTAACATATTTAAATATGGAAGAGCACTCTTTGTGAGTGGTCCGTGTGTTGTAGCAAAGAACATAATCCTCATAACTTGATTTTGCTTTGTTTGTAACTTTTTTAAGTTAACCTTATAGGTACTTCCCCAAGCGGTAATGGCGTAAGAAATATGAGGGTATATGATATTATAATAGAGTTGTTTGAGCTGAGTAATTGATAAGTAATGTCTTAACTTTGAGAAGATACCAATACCACGAGATACACGAGAACAAATATATGGGATATGGTATTTCCGAGATATGGTATCATCAATCATAACCCCTAAATATTTTATATGATCTTTTCTTTCTAGAGGAACACAAGAACCATCTGCGTTTTGTATCTTTATGTCAATTTGCATGTCCTTTTTTCTAGCTGACTTAATAATCATAAAATTTGTCTTAGAGAAATTTATTGACAATTTATTTGAATTACACCATTCTTTAACCTTGGAAATCTCAGTGTTCATTAAAGTTTCTAGTTCCTGAATATTTCTAGATGAGGCAAATATGTTAGTGTCATCTGCAAACAATCTAAACTTTAATTTGTTAGAGCAGTTTGGCAAGTCATTAATATATATTAGGAACAACAATGGTCCAAGTGTGCTTCCCTGAGGAATCCCACATGTCATTGTTTGTTTAGATGACTGAAAACCCCCTAAAGCCACATACTGTTGTCTATCAGTTAAATAACTTGTAAACCACTGAAGTGGTAGTCCTCTGATACCGTAAGCTGCTAATTTT